CTGCGAGTGGCTTGCGTCGCGGCGGCCCTCGGCCAGACGCTTCTGTCTGAGCCGCAGCAGTGCCCGAAGCAGCACGGCAATGGCGGTAATGCAAGGCAAAAGCCATGGAAGATGTTTCCAAGAAAGCAGCGTCCACCCACCGATACCGTTCCCAGCAGCTGGAAGAGGTCGACCAACACCAGGTATAGGTGTTTGGTCTGGGGTTCTCCTTGTCGGAACGCACAGCGGCAGGCTGCCGGAGGCCAGGCTGACCCACCTGGGGGGCGGAGGTAGGAAAGCAACTCTTTTCTTGCCATTTCTGACAGCGACCTTTGATTTTTCGTTCCTGCAACGCTATTCTCATCCTAGCACGAGCGACGAGGGCTCCGCAGAGCCAGAGCTGTACCTGTCTCAAAGCCTTCAAACTGGCAGAGAACAGACCACGGAGATGACACCCTGGCTGCGGGCTCCGCTTCTTCTTCTGCGCCCGGAGACGGCACAAACTGCCCAAAGTTAGAGGCGGAATGGCCAACTGGACTCTGACCAGCAGCCTCCCTCACCACGAACCCGTCGGAAAGGAAAAGTTTACCCGACTTCAAGCCTGCTCCTTTTAGTTCAAAGGAAAGGGCTGACGCTGGAAGGCAGGAGAAGGTAATGGATTTATTAATAGTAGGTGGGATCCTTCTGCTGAAAAGCCTCTTCCCACCGCCATCTGGAGTGTTGCTAACTCTGTGCGGCAGCCAGCACACCTGGGACTCGGAGACCTAACCCTGGGTGACAGTTTAATGATCCGTCTGGTGAACCCCTCACCTCCCCAGACTTCTGCTGAGCACAGAGAAAACGGAAAAAAAACCCAAGCCCGCTCTCTAGCATATTTCCACAACTGTGTGGTGGAACGAGTCAGGATGTACCCTGGAGCTGCCTTCCGACAACGGCAGCGAGAACAACAAAGGCAGAGATGCAAATGTGTTGGGATCAGTCTCGTCCACAGAATTAATTTGGCTCTGGCCACCTTTTGCACCTCGGCCAGCCCTGTAGCCACCCATCACACGAGATCTGTGCAACGTGAGAGCAGGCTCCTAGGCTGAGGCTGCTTGGGAATGTGCATCTAGCCTTTTTTGCTTCTCTCATTAAAACCCTGTTTGTGGTCTACATCTGGAAACGGTGACACTGACCTAGTCATTCTGCAAGCCGCCCAACAGTTCGAGTAGGAGAAATGCCTTGATGCTGACCAGAATTGGAGGGTGATGCACCAAGAAGGTGGGATGGATCCGGTCCAACATTCTCCACTGAAACAGCCTGACAAAGTCATACCAACGAAATGACAAAGCGAGAGGGCAGGGCCACAGCGCTGATCCACGTAGCCCTGGCACGTTTGCTCTTCTCGGGGAAAATTTTTACGGCACACGGAGGCAGTAAGCGCTGCCGTCCTGGGCACTGAACTGTAGCCAGACTGCATTGCTGCACGTGCTGAGATATGGTGGTAAAAATTATATTTCCTCCCATGCCATTCCCTTTAACAGAAGAACAGGATTAGGACTGTATATCCAACGTATACGTTCATCTACTGCTTCAAGTTTTTTTCTATGTTCTCCCTCCAAGGACGTCGCAGTGAAGAACATATCTAGGAGATCTGCGCTCAGTATCTTCTTTTCAACAGTTTCTGGTGTGAATAAGCGTAAATTGTTTAATCTGGGTCTCAGTTACCAATTTATAAAAGGGGTAATAAATCATCCTCTCCGTACCCTGAACTCTACGGTAGGCACTCATCTCCTACAGGTCACTTTGTCTTAGCTGAGACTTCTAGACTGATTTAACACGTAGTCCATCCTTATGTATTTTACCCTGTAAAACTGAATCCGCGACACAGCAATGATGAGACTGCTCCTTCGAATTAGTCTTTGAACACACAAATTCACCAGGACACAGCAGGGTAAACACGCAGGTGGACACAGAGTTCAACAGCTGGGAGACTCCCCTGTGCAAGGGGAGCACGAAGGTGAATTGGGGCCAAAAGAGCTCCTTTTCCTACCGCAGTGTGACGAGCCGGCTGCTGCAGGGAGCTACCGAGAGCTCATCGTCCCAGAGGACAGTTTCGGCCGGGGGCACTGATTGATTGCCAGCGTTTAACGTTAAAAGCAAGGCCAACGTGTGGGAACCGGCAGCCGCTGCCCGTTTTCCTAGATGCAGCTAAGCACATCAGCAGCTCCCTGCATCCCACCGCAAGGTTTCTTTTGGCAAATCCAACGGACAGGTCGCATTCTAAAGCTTTCCAGATTGTGGACGCCACCACTGCGCTTTGCACGTGTTGTTCCTTTCCCTCCCCTTCTCCAAGCCATGGCGGGCTGAAGAAATTTCACCCATTCATTTAGTCTCACCATAAAGGGTTTGGTGTCGTTTTCTCTGGGGTTTACACCATGAGATCAAGGCATGTGAATCAGAAGGTGGTTTGAGAAGGCGTACGTTAGGCTTTGAGTTACCCTTTACCACAGTTTGGGATCTGAACCAACTCCCAAATACAGGAAATCCAAACCCAAACCTGGCTCTCAACTGTTCAAATGCCCTTCTATTTATAATTTGCTAAATTAACGTTCTGGTCTTAAATTGGAGAGTGTTTGAAGCCTAGATCCAGGAACCGTTTTTGCCAGAAACCTTCTAGCAATGCATTACACCATGATGCGGATCTAAAGAACTCCGAAAGAGAATTTGAGACCAGTAGACATGATAATGAGGTAGTAATTACTGGAACAGCTGTCTGAGAGAAAGGTTAAACTCATCGCTACTAGACTTCTTTCAAGGAATCTCAAGATTTTTCTAAGTGACATATTCCAGTTCAGCCTCAACCTCCTGGACCCAAGAGACTTCCTAAGGGTAGGGAATAAATTCCTAGTCCCCAAAACAAACATCCCAGCAAAAATACACTGCCGTGAATCATGAAAGGGTTCTTGGAGGTGGACAAGGCACGACTGGTCCCGGGAGTAGTCGCTGCCCTTACCTTGCCCGAGCCTGGCGCCTGTGATTGCCTCCTTGGCGCTCCCGAAGCCCAGCTCTCGGCACACCACGCTGGCGGACACCAGGTTCCAGTTGTCATCGCAAACCGTTCCCCACTCCCCGTTTTTCAGCACTTCGACGCGTCCTTCGCCAGTGTTGGCTCCCCCTTTAAGCCTCACCAGTGGCTGCTGGAAGGCACAGACAAGAAGTGGTGTTACCCCTGCCCAGGAACAAAGCAACATCCCTGCTTTAGAGCTCATGTGGCGGCAGGTAAGCTGCGGCCCAAAACGTGTTACCCTGAGGCACCTTAAAACAACCAGCACATAATACAAAAGGGTAAAAGTGTGGGATGAATCACACAGAATGTTCGGGGTTGGTAGGGACCTCTGTGGGTCACCCAGCCCAACCCCCTGCCCAAGCAGGGTCACCCAGAGCAGGCTGCACAGCACCGTGTCCAGGCGGGGCTGGAATATCTCCAGAGAAGGAGACTCCACAGCCTCCCTGGGCAGCCTGGGCCAGGGCTCCGTCACCCTCAGGGGGAAGAAGTTCTTCCTCGGGTTCAGGTGGAACTTCCTCTGCTTCAGGATGAGAGGAGATCTACATCTGCTGAGACTTACGGTACCACAGACATACATTTCTCATGTCCCTGTACGTGGGCAGAAAATAAAGAGAGCCACTGTAGTTCTCTGCAGTTTTAGCGCTTTGCTTTAGGAGCCTTCTTCACACCCGCAGTTCTGCGGCAGCAGCGTGCTGCCACGCACAGGAGAGGCCGGACTTCTCACACCCCGTCCCTCGGGAGCCTTGCAGGAGGCTGGGGAAGGAACAAGCGACCTGGCAGATGGCGGTCAGAAACACACAGCCGAGTGGCAGGGCCACTTCCGTTCATTTCTATCCTTCTTACATTTCTCTCAGGCACCTACTGCGCACGGCTTGTGCCTTTCCCTGGTGCGGAGCAGCCGGCCGCTGCACCCGGGAGATGCGCTGCTGAGGTGGGAGCCGCAGGCGTGGGAACACCATGAGATCTGAGCAGTCAGAGAGCAAAAGAAACCTTGACTTTTCCAAACTGGAAGCGTATACAGCTCTCCAGGCTGGGGTCACATGAAGGACACCCGAAGCCTACACAAAGGCTTAAGGAATTACTTGGCAGTACGCGTGGCTCAGAAGAGGAGCAATGATTTACAAGACCTTCCGCCTTTGAGGCCTAGATCCCGCAAGCTCTCGCGCAGAGAAGCGCCCAGACTCCAGGCAAGCAAACCAGGGACAGGTCTGTACTATTCCCACTCCAGCAGTGCCTGGAGGTGTTGTTGGGGGCCAAGGGAAAGCCCTCTCCTAAAGCCACAGAGGCACAGGGCTGGAGGGTGCAGGCTACGATGCACCCTGCAAAAAAACCCTCTGCCCAGCACAAAGAACCTCCAGACCCCGAGGTCACCCCTGTGTCCTAAGGCTGCACAGACCTTACGGCTGGAAAATTTCCCTCGGCAGCAACCTAAACCACGTTTGCCGCGCGTTAGGCTGAGCCGCGTTCAGCTGCCCCACTGACACTAACCGACTCCGGGGTCATTTCATAACAGCCTTTTGCATATCTTGGAATTTTTACGCTATGCTCAGCCCTCTCCTTGCTAGACTAAACACGCACAGCTTTTTCAGCTTTTCCACAGGCCCTGTTTTCCCAGTCTCTCAGGGCGTTTCTTTGCAGAAGATAGAGGGGTAGCGGAAACAGCAGCTCGTTTCCCTCGTGCCTCCACGGGAGGAACAAGCCAGCAGAGCTGAGTGCCTGCGGAACAGCAGAGCCCGGCAGCAGCTGGGCACGCGTTCAGTTGGCACGAACACAACAGCTCCAACAGAAACGTGACCAACGTATTTTCTTACTACTAGCTCGCAGCCTTGCCAGCTGAGCGGCGAGCCGGTCTCCCACCCCCTGAGCGCGAGGTACCACGTATCTGCGAGGACAGAAACTTGGCTGGGATTGCAGCGGGAAAGGGATACAAAGAGGGGACATTTGGACGACCGGCTGGTTTGTGGCTACGGGCACACACACGTTCAGCCCCCAGTAGCTGATGGGGAATAGTTACGGCCCCAGGCTTTTCCTTCTCCACGGGCTGCGTTTGCTCCCTGCTCACCTCCTGCCTGAAGGCTTTTCGGAAGCCACTGTGGCTGCTGGGGGCAAAGGCGCGTCCGGGGACGCAGCTGACTACCGCAGGCATCCCGTTCTCGCACGTCGCGTTCTTCTCCGCGTCCACGTTGAGGTGATTGCCCAGTTTGCAGCTGGAGACGTGCGCCTCGTTACCGCTGCAGTCCATCGAGTAAGGCCAGTAATGCTGCTTCCTCCTGCTGGCAAACATCCTTGGAGGAATGAAAGGAAACGAGAAGTTAGCAATCCGTAAGAACCGCACTGATGTAGCTACATTTGGGAAAAAAACCGCCTTGAAATAAAATGCGGATTGAACGGCGTTATTTGAAGGCTGCTCCATTCACACACAGAGTGGCTCTCTGTTGAGGTGTCACCTGGGAGCAAGCAGGTCATCTGCTCAAGGTAAAGACCAGAGTACGAACCAGCAATTACACACCCGAAGGAGACACGCAAGAGAGATCCCTCCGCTACGCAGGGGTCAGGGATCAGTTCATTCAAGAGGCAGTGTACAAACAGGGCCTGTGCAAATAACGCTGGCGAGCTGCGACAGGAGAGGCCCCCAAAAGACCTCTCCCGTAACGAGCTGCTCGCTTCGCTGGCCATCACCTGTCAGCTGTGAGAAGATGGCAGACTGGGAAGCAGCCCACGGCTCTCCAGCTTCTCTCAAAGCTGCGGTGTTAACAACTGTGAGCCTAAAAGCAATTTCCGAGAACAAGAGCAATTCCCTTGATGACAAGTTCACAGCAGAGGAGATTGGCAGCAGTTTCTGCTCCTTGCTCCCAAACTGCAGCGCTTGCCTGGAGCGGCTCCAGGGACTCCTAAGGGGGAAGGGGCACGTGTGATAAATGAGAAAAGAAAGTAATCCAGCTTTGTCCTAACTGCATTGCAAGGCTGTCAGATGACTGCATTGGAGCTAAAATAGTCAAGAAAACAAAAATATAGGTCAGAACATTATCAAAAGGAAGATGTGAGAAGTTAAAAAAGAAGTCGAGGCGCAGAGGAGCCGACGCCCGGCTGTGATCTTGACGTGGCTTTGCGAGGTCCCTGTGCGGCTCCTCATTCCAGGACCGGCTGCCACGCAGCCCCGGCGACGCAAGGATGAGCTGTGAGAAATGGCACAGCGAGGTGGGTGGAACTTAGACTCCGATTAACCGTAGCACGTCCCTGCAGGACAGAGAGCCCGAACGGGATCTGGTAAAGGGACAAAGCACCTGTTACAGGTTGTTGGTTTGAAGCTAAACTGGACAGGCCGAGGTTTTCTTAGCTGATGCCCTTCGGTGGTCCTGCGTGGGCTGATTTGCCCCGTCTCAGATGCTCGAGAGGACTATCCTCTGCCCCTCCACTTGCTCAGCTTCGCTGACAAGCTCAGCAGTTGCCTAGGCTCAGATGGCTCGCAGCCACCGACTGATCCTTTCTGGAACCAAACGTCTCCGGGTTGAGGTCAGGGCCAAACGCAGTCGGGCAGGAGACAGAGATGTTATTGCATAACTGGACGGGGGTAAACGCTGCGCCAGCAGTGCTGGAGAGCAGGGCAGGGCTGAGCTCTGTCCCACGGAGCGGTGATAAGCCCCCTGCCTGTCCTGTGGGTAAGACACTGGCTGTCAAACCCCACGTTTGTCACACCAGAGCTGCCAGGGAATGAATGGGAAATAGGAAGGGGAAATTAAAAATTTTAGAAGAAAAAGGTAAAAACATAGAGGATGCAGGCAGAAAGAAAGTGCCAGCCGCTTCTCAGCTAGAATATCTGGTTCGATTTGGACCAAACCTTGAAGATTTTTCTTCCTTCTAATTAAACGACGCTGGATACTACAAGTCTACCAAAAATCCATGAAAGCACCTGCCCTTGGACTGCTGGAGCTCAGCACCGAGGCCCCAGTTGAACGCTAAGTGCTGTCTTGGGCTGCAGAGCAGCGGGGCAGGTTCCGGCATCCGTTCCACGCTGGGAAGCATCTCGAGGCGCCTGCGTTCAGTGACCCCACTCCGTACCCTCCGAGCACGAGCCAGCTCGGCTCCACCACCCTTTCACTCTGTGTGCTCAGCATGGAAGTGAGAACCCGGAGGAGCGTTTTCACCGAGGGCCCTCTGCAGATGAGAGCTCCACGAACTCCAAAGCAGACAAGAAACACAGCCTGTCTTAGAGCAGTAATTACGGGGATGCCTTATAATAGCAAACAATGACCTCATCCTGGAAATTTCATGAGGCATTAACATCTGGTTGGCATTAACAGCCCTTGCTAGGCTGGGGAGGAATAGCCAGAGAAAGCCCCACCTCGTTTCCCCAGACCAAATATATAGAAAAAAGAAGTAGAATGCAGATGATCTTTACAGATAGAAACTCAGGGCATTCTTGGTATTGACTGTTTGACACAGAAAGGGTGCAACCCACCTCTCACTGGCCTTGGTATAAGCCACAGGCAATGCTGCTTACAGCAGAGGCGCGAGTGAACACTCATGCTGTGAGAGTTTAGCCAACTCCAGGTCAAGCTGGAGCCCAAACTGTTTTGGCTGGTCAGGAGAGATGGACCTTCATCACTTAAGCTTTAAACAAAGGCACAGGTTAAGGCCAAGGGCTGTGGGAAGTGGCTAAGGGTTTAGCTAAAGCAACCTTGCTACGTAAGAGTGTGTCAGAGGGGACTCGAGGAAAGCAGAAAACAAACCGTTACACACATGCATCCCAGGAAAACTCACCTATAACACAGCAAACAGAAGCTGCTGGACTCCTCAGAGGTGTGAGCATACATTTCTGGTGCTGAGAGCAGTTTCTACGCTCGACCAATTCTTGAAGCATTTACTGAAGTTAACAAGTTTGCTGTCTTCAGCCTCAGGGAGAAGCCAGACCTGCCGCCTACTACCAAAGCCCTTAAGATCCTGGCTTTGCTAGGGAAAGCCCAAACCACGGTGATTTCCACTACAAGCGTAAAGTGACTAACTGCCCTACACATCTGACCAGGTTTATAATGCTGTGAGCAGACTGGTTAAACTGGGAGATGCTGTTTGGACTGACATTGAATGAAGTATCATAGAGTCATGGAATGGTTTGGGTTGGAAGGGACCTTAAAGACCACCCAGTGCCAACCCCCCCGGACCCCTTCCACCAGCCCAGGGTGCTCCAAGTCCCATCCAACCGGGCCTTAAACGCTTCCAGGGAGGGGGCAGCCACAGCTTCTCTGGGCAATCTGGGCCAGGGCCTCAGCACCCTCATAGTGCAGAATTTCTTCCTTATATCTAATCTAAATCTCCCCTCTTTCAGCCTAAAGCCATCCCCCCTTGTCCTGTCACAAGTCCCCCTCCAGCTCTCTCGCAGCACCTCCAGGCACTGCCAGCTGCTCTCAGGTCTCCCTGGTGACTTCTCTTCCCCAGGCTGAGCAGCCCCAGCTCTCCCAGCCTCTCCTCCCAGCAGAGGGGTTCCAGCCCTCGCATCATTGCTGGGGCCTCCTCTGGCCCCGCTCCAACAGCTCCAGCTCTGTTCTGTGCTGAGGGCTCGAGAGCGGGACGCAGGACTCCCGGGGGGTCTCACCAGAGCGGGGCAGAGGGGTGGAATCCCCCCCCTCGCCCTGTGCCCACGCTGCTGGGGATGCAGCCCAGGGCACGGTTGGCCTTCGGGGCTGCCAGCACACGCTGCCGGGTCACGGCCAGCTTTTAATCCCTCAGCACCCCCATCCTTCTCCTCAGGGCTGGTCTCGATATCCTGGAACTGCTGAGCTCCTCCATCCCATTCTTTGACAAATCACAAAGCTGTAAGACCTCGAGAAAGCATCAGGTCCATCTCTCCGCCTTAGGTATCTCTGGTCACAAACTTCTCTCTCTCCATCAGTAAAACGCATTTAATTCCACTCTGCTTTCTCAACCAGAGCAGGAACTGGAAGGAGGAGTTAACAAGCGGTGCCTATATAAAATCACTTTGAAGAATGAACAAGAACATGGAAACAACACAGAGGCTTGTTTCATTTCCTACCATAAATTGTGCTGTCAACTGCAGAGTCTAAGTTACATTCAGGAATAAAACCCTGGCACCAGAACAACAATGAACTAAGTTGTTTTCTTTCAAGCAAGACCCATCTGCAAATCATTTCACCTCCCACCGTTGTGCAGCAGCGGAGCAGAGCATCAGCTAGCTCAGCAAGCAAAGCTGCAGTTTGCGGGGAGTGGGACTGCCGGGGACGTGGGAAGGGGGCACTCGCAGTGCGGCCAGCAGAAACCCGACTCCAGCCCGTCTCCCCGCTGCGGAGCACGAGCAGGAAAGGATCCACTCTTGGGAGAAGGGTATTTACAAATCAGGGAGAGCAAAGCCCGAGAAATGAGCAGAACGTTTCTGAGGCTTCAGACACACGTAGAGAGAGGGTTTAGTTCAAGTGCCCATCCAGAGATGAGCTCTTCCCTCCCCAGGACAGGACGCGACCAGAGAGCACCGGCAAAGCTGAGAGCAGAGCTCCCGTGGCCCAGGTGAGCCAGTTGCAGTGGTGATCGTTGCAGTACCTCAGTCACGAAGCAAAAATTACTTCTGAAGTTCCCAGCCCAGAACTGGGAGGTTTCCCTCACCAGCAACGCTGGTTGTACGTGACGCATCTGCCAGTAACACAAAGCTCAAAGGCAAATATCCCAAGAAAGAACGCAGCTTTTCAAACTATGCTAACCAAACAAAACCATCTACCTGACAAAGTTTTACAAGACTCTTCCTTCCAATAAAATGACATCTCATCTTCTTGGAACCCAGGATAACGTGCAGCATATTTTCCAAAACACCCTTCTGTGGGTGTGGGAGCCCCGCAAGCCGTTCCAGCTGTGGGGGGGGAGCCCGAAAAAGCCGTTACTGCTTGCCAAAACCAGGGAAAGGTGAGGCAGGTATTGGGGCACCGAGGCTGTCTCAGCAGCGTCTGGGTCGGTAGCAGAGATCTCCAAGCCTGGTGTTTGTAGGCACTGCGTATTCCTAACTCCAGCTCCAGCGAATGGGATTTTCAGCATTGCTGAATGTCACGCTGAACAACCGTGCCTCAGTTTTTCCATCTCTACGTGTACTGTTGCAAGAGACAGGACGATTACCAAGCACCCTTTTATTTAAGGCAGATGGCTTCGGCTGCTAAAGTTAATGCTTTTCTTGGAAACACCACAACTGAGAAGCAGGAAAAACCTACTTTGTCTTACTAGAGGTAATTTATTCTGCCCTCCTGCTCTGATGCAGGGGATGGGAATCTTGGAGCCGAGTTAGAGGGAGACATGCTGCACTGATGGGAGCATAAGCTCCTCGAATTGGTGTCCAGGGCAAAACATGAGACCGCCTGACAGCAATTACTAATTCACTGCTCACCTTCCTGGGAAGCCTGAAAACAGAATTCCACTTGAGTTACTTATCTTATATTCTTTGAGCTGCTATGTGGCTTTACGCTATTCCAACCCAAGGACCTCTTCAATTGATCGCGATCTCGCTAATGAAAGAAATGAAACGTGGCCAGCCGGTTCCAGAGGGAGCTTTTAGAAATGGCAGTTGCACAGGCCAAGAGGAGCAGGCAGGAAAACCACAACTCCTGCCTGAAGAATTCAGTTGTCCCCCTAACCAACCAGCTGATGCTCTCCTGGCCCCATAGGTCACAGTGTAGG